GAATATTTTCATTTTCGATGAAGCAAATTCACTGCAAAAAAACGTACAGCATCTTCAAATGTTTAAGTACATAATTAATTACTCATGTTTGGTTTGGAAACGCATTTTTATTTATTTATTTATAATAATTATTTAATTTTTAAAAAGTTAAAAAAAAAAATCTTTAAAATAAATTGAACTAAAATGTCACTTACCTAATAATTAATGTTGGGCCCAGTGTTCAGGATTAAATAAAACACATGTATCAAAGTTTGACACGAACACTCTTCCAACAAAGACAACTCTTTCATTTATTTATTTATTTTTATGTGGTTCGTAAGAAACTTCATGACTACCAGATTATCGGATTCCTCAACGCCTGTAACATGTTCAACCAAAAAGAACAATGCAAGAATTTATTTATATATTTATATGGTGGGATGGGATAGCAATAATATGAAAGGGTGAGAGGGTAAGTTTAATTGAACTAAAATACTGTAATCAAAGAAATAATATACCCTTACTATGTTGCAAACTTGCAATGGGAAACAAAATCATCTTGAATGAGATTCTTGGAAAAACAAACTATTTCAAGAGCACGTAGATCCGAAACTGATAAACACGCACACCCAATGTTGGCAAAAGAAATATAAAATTTACTAAACAAAGGCATCATCAAGGTTTGACAAAAATAGTATTAAAATGTTGATCATGCCCTCCGAATATGATGCCACTGGGAATATTATAGTAAAATTGAATAATGTTGCAATGCCTTTAAACTATTGAAGGAGCATGATATTTCGGGGAGATTAAGATGCCACATCTATAAATAAAGTAAGAGCAGCCATCAGAACAGAGCCACATCAGTATTATTAATCAATTAGTAATGTTGATTGTTCCTATACTTACAAGTTAAACAAGATTCAAAGACACATATTAGACAAGGATCAGAAAATCATTCGTTTAGTTTTTAATTCTGACCAAGTCAGAACTTTCCGCGTGATGCATGATTCACCTTTTGCAAACCATAGGAACAATTAAATTATAGAGGCCAAATTGTCCAACTGAAATCATGTGACTTAATATTATAAGGCCAACAAGAAAGGAGAGAAATAATTCTATAATTTAAGATTATCATAATCTCGATTAATTTTCACATCGTACATATACTAAATGTTATTAATTCATTTTATAAATTAAAGACTTAATTATATGTCATGTAATAATTAATTAAGAAAGACCATGATATTCCTTAGTCCAGATTCATGTAATAATTTCTTGGGTAAGAGACGCAAAATCGAATGGAATCTTTAGGCTTGCTGTCGCCAGTAGTTTATTTGGATTAAGAAACCAAAGGTAGAAGGCATGTCCTAAGTATTTTTTTTGTTTAATACGATTGAAAAGGTTTCTTTCCTCGGTTCTTTAGGAAAAGAAAAAATGAATTGTAAACTGAATCTGGATGGAGTACATGCCAAGATATTATTGTTAATCAAAATCAAACTAGACAATATTATAAAGTTGTCATTGTCATGATGCGTATGCAATTCCTAAGATAATGAAGATCGAGATGCATGGTAGATATGGACCTTTGATCTAATCGAGATTCACATGCTGCACCTGTTAGTTTATTGTCATTCTCTTCTAGGTTTATGTATTCAGGAAACCGATATCTATCAATCTTAAATCAGATGGCATTTAGTCTTCATATTCAATTATATGTGCACATGTTTGCAGTAATAATCAATGAATGTACGATAAACACAAATATATGCTATGATCTTTATATTATCGCCTCATCTGGTCATCCCAGATTTTGCATTAAAACTAAATTAGTGGAAACGATGATATTAGAATGGAATTCATTTTATAGTAAGCAGTCCAAAGATGTAAATAATTTTAAAATAGTCCTATTTATATAATTAATTTAAAAAATAACTCTACAATCATCAATTAGCCAAGAGTTGAGTGCATTATAGAAAAGAAAGATGAATTTTATTATATAAAATAAATAATGTAAGATTATGAACTAAAGATAATGTAAGTTCATACTTTATTTGGATTTTCTCTTTAACATTAGTGAGCGAAATGGCTGGATCTATGATCCCTAGAATCCACTTTCCACCTTTTTTCTCCCCTTCTGGGGCATTATAATCTATGATTAATCTTCAACATTCCATAAGTATGATTTGCAAAATATTTTCAAACTAAAAATTGTAATTACTCTGATTGAATCTCTAACGTTGGTAAAACTTCAGACCCATGTCTTCATCTGCCAACCATCTATTTAGTATAAATAGAAACAAAACATAGTACTTTGTGTTTTTGGATATATAGAATATACAAATATAGTACTTGCAGGCTTGCAGCTTTGTGTAAAAGCGGGACTTCTGTTGGCCCCAAAAAAAGGCATAAAATCAATATTGGGCAATACTACCTGTACTCCCCTAATTACTTTTTAAACCCTACACCTTTTAAAAAAGATGTTTTCCTTTTGGACAGAAACTTGTTTCTATTGATTACATATGTTTTGTTGTATATATATATAGGTGAAATACACAATAATGCACAACGGAAATCCGTTTTATATCTTGTTACATACATAACAAAAACTAGTCTATGTTGTGTTTTCTAACAAAACACACGACCAAAATATTTTCGTTGTGCATGCATCCAACAAAAACATGTTTTCTTTAGATCACGGTTCACGACAATTACAAAAAAAAAAAAAAAAAAAAAAAAAAAAAGAAAAAAAAAAAGGATAGAGCAAGAGAGAACCTGTGTGTGGGGCAAGTGAAAAGCAAGAGAGGAGTGACATGGGGTGCTTGGTGACTGGTGAGGGCGGAGAGGGGGTTGTTTGAATAGCAGCAACTCCCACAAACATTTTATTTGAACGTTGGGCCACTCTTAAAACAAGTCACAAGTGTCCATGGCCCTCGTTAAGTTTAAAGATTAATCACCTCTTTATTCTTCTTTCAACATTCATCGGTCCCTAATCCCTATTTCCTAAAGCATAAATGTTATGGATTTTTTTTTTCAAAATTGAAATCTTATTAGAACTGTTCGATTCATCTTTCAAAATCATATCACATCTCAAATATGATAAAATAGGATGAATTGAGATAATATTTTGTAAATACATAATTATTTTGAATAAATTTATTTTTATTTTTTATTTTTTGATTGCCTAAAATAAACAAAATGTTTTTTTTTCTTTCTTCAACAATTTCTAATTTCTAGTAGGTCTTTCAATAGACTTCGAACTCAAATAAAATTCTAACCATCTGTTTGAGAAAAAAGTACAAGTCACTCTTGTTAGGTTCTTAAAAAATTCTTCAATTTCTTTTAGAAGCAAATGATTATTCATTTCTTTATAAATTATTTTCAACACATTGATTGAAGTTAATAATAATAATAAAATGCATTCAAAAAGTATGGTACTGTAGTAGATAATGTGTAAGCAACATACATTTATCCATCTAATTCATTCATAAGTAAATGTATCAAATCTATTAATTACAATAAAAATAAATAATGCATTGAAAAAATGTTTATTGAATTGAGATTCTAAAACTATTTTAACATTAAAAAAAAGTCTTGCAAATTTTTATAAATTATATAAGAATATAATAAGTTAAAAAAAAAAAGCAAAATAATAATTTTTAAAATATTACTTTTATGAATAGATTAAATATTCATTCATAAAAAAAATTGTAAATGGATAGACTCGATAGATTTTTTACTTTAAATGAATTGGATAGATTGAATTTTTATATAAATTTTTAATAAATAAAAACACATTCATAAATTATTTTCATTCGGTCACCTGTTTAAAAAATTGACTAATCCATTGATTAATCACCCCTAATCTATTTGATGATACTTCTCTTTATCCACTACTGTTGGCAGCTTTTAGTATGCGACTGTAACCGGGCCTGAATTTTTATTTGTCGTTAACAAAGCGTGCCAATACATGTACTACAAATCTTCATTTACAAGCTGTGAAAGAATCCTCTGACATCTTAGTGGCACCTCTTCATAGTCTTTCTTTCATTATAAATATAAATATCCTAATTTTAACATCGCTGCATCACAAGATTCATATTGGGTCTCTAATATTGATGACCGCAAGTTGACCTCAGGAGACTGCATCTTTCTTAGCAAACTTGTTATCATGGTCTCCAAAAAGCAACATGATGTTTAAATCTCATCTGATTTATTGTAATAATCCCAATGCAGTCTACCAAGCATTTCGAATTGGATCTTTAGTAAGGTGACTTTAACCAAGATAAAGTTCAGCAGGGTCAACTTCTTGTTCAT